ATAGTTATATAATAGACTTTTAAAGTATGCTTTCCTTTTTCTTTTAGATTTATATCTAAAATAGTGTCTGTCCAATGATAGATAAATTTGGGAGCAGTTCCTCTAGTGCTCATTACTTGTTTCCTTGTAGCCAGTGGAAGGACAAACGAAAGACTTAACTGTTTCTGGCTTTGAAGAGACAGAAGACCCATGGGAGGAATCTTGATTGGGAAAGTGAATGAAACACTTTGAAATCCATTCTCAAACCATAGTTTCACATCTAATTGTGTTCATGATTTGGTTGCTGATGCCCCTTAATTCCTATTATTGTGGTATTTTTAAGAAACAACAAAAAAAGTTAATACATTTGATTTTATTCAGAGAGTTTGAAAATACTATAGAGTGATTTAATAACCACTGGGCCCCACTTCCTATCTTTTCATCATTTTGCCTTTTGAATGTTGGGACATGTTTTAAGACCATTTATGTCTTTGTGTTCTTATCTACAATTTGGGGAAAAATGGAGATTCTTCCTATAGTTGTTGGAAATATCATAAAGCAAAACACAAATACCCCCCTCCCCAAACCTTGCCATAAACTGTCTAGGGCTTGAGACAATAAAAGAATTGTACAAATAAAAAGTGATGAGTTATTGTCATTGTTTGGCATGTTTAGCAATAAATGGAATTATCTGAAGTGGCAAAATAATAACGTCTGGAAATGGGGTTCAGTGAATCCAGGGCATCTCAGCACACGTATATCTTAATGTGCTTGTTTGTTAAAGAAATTCTGAAGACAACATAGCTAATAGGTTGTTTTGTTTTTGTTTTTGTTTATATTTATGTCATTTTGGAGAACTCACAAATTACCTCCACAGATGGCTTTTCATTCTGTGATACCTTTTCACCTACTTTATTTTTTTTTTTTGGGGGGGGTGCTATTCTTTTTAGATACAGTTGGCCCTCCAATATCCATGGGTTTCATATCTGTAGGTTCAGCCAAGCTCAAATCAAGGGTATTTGGAAAACAATTGTCTCTACTAAATATATATATTCCTTGCTTTGTCATCAGTGTTCCCTAAACTACAGTGTGTAACAACTACTGATATAGTACTTACCTGGGTTAGGTATTCTGAGTCAGCTGGAGAAGCTTAAAGCATATGGGAGGCTGTGTGTTCATTGTATGTGAACATGACACCATTTGAGATAAAAGACTTGCTCATGTGTGGATTTTGTCTTTTGTGGGGCTCCTGGAACCAGTGCCTCCATGGGTAAAGACAGTTAAGAGTAACATATGACATTTCTTATTCTTTCTAAACATGCAAACTATTATATTTTACATTCAGCTTTAATTACTGTTATGTTGACTACATAAAAAATCTGATAAAACAAAATTAAATATTTTGTAGAGCTTTTATGTATTTTAGCAGTTGGCAATATTAATTTATTCCTTATAATGAATTTAATTTAAATAAGTATTGTCATTGAAATATTGTATTTAAGGGATAGTTCTATGTCTTTATTTTTACTTTTGGTCTTTTAGTTCCAGCGTGTTGTCCCTTTTGGTTTTGTTTTATTGCTTTTTTCTTTAATTTTGCTTACCAGAGCCAAAGCCTTAGTAGAAGAACACCGCCTTTTGTTCCTAGGGTGCAGGTAAAGGCCTTATCTGCCTGATAGAAACCCAAGTTGTGTTTTACCCCTTATCTGTATGTTTTTGGAAAATGCGTAGTAGGAAAACCTTTTGGTATGTTGCTGTAAACCATGTTACTGAATTTCAAATCATTTTATGAGCCAGCTTGTAAAATTCTGCATGGGGGTTAGAATATTGAATACAAATTTAAAGAGACAATCTTTATTAGTAATTATATATGATAAAATCCTAAAATGTCTAGGTTTCAAAGTGGCATATAATGTAGATTTGTGGTAGAGTCAAGCTATATAGCTATTATTTACAGAAATAGCTAACTTTATGCTGCAATACTGTTCTTTATTACACTAAGTTTGCTGTCTCTTTAAATCATTCATTATACCTCTTAACCTCTAAATTTTTTTGCATTTTCCAAGCACTAATTCCTTGAGGAGATTGGCAAATATATTTGTACCTTACTTAAAATATGAATTTTATGCATGTGGCATATAAGGTTCAACTTTTGAAAGTTACTTTGTAAAATCAAAATCACAATCTAAGCAAATTGCTGAGTTAATTTTATTTACATTTTATCATTCTATTTAATTTTACTCTGATACTTAGGTACAAGTTGTTTGCCTCTTTTCATTAGCAAACCTTCATATGGTAACATAATGGCAGTATAATGTTTCTAAAAAATAATACAATGCCTTCCTTGCTTTGCTGCATGTTTTTAAAGATTTGCTGGTTTTGAATAATACTTATTTCATTTAAATTATAAAAGTCAATGTTCTAATTAACACTATATAATATCAAATATTTGTATACATGGTTCAGGTCTATTGTGAAAATTCAAAATAATTACATGGTAAAGCTGATATGATAATCATAGTGAACAATTAAAATGATTCCAATATTTTATTAAAAATTAACTGAACTCAAAGTTTGTCAAGATTTTTATTATAAAATATGTTTGTAATATTATGGAGGATCAACAACTATATTTTACCCATTAATTTTAAAAGCACAGATAAAGAATTTAAGATGATGATAAAATAACCTAGCTAGTAGAATTTCATGCTAACTGAACATACATTAAAAACTTTAATGCAAGTCTATTGTATAAATAGAAATTAAGGTTGTTAAATACTTAACTTACAGTAGCTCACCAGAAAGTATAATTTTGATCAAAGAATCAATAAAATTAAAATATATTTGTTTTCTATCTGCATTATTTTATCCTTCCTATGTCTGGAAAGTATAATTTACCTCAAGTACTGTCACCAAACCATGAAAGCTATATGCCTTATGTCTGCTTAGTTCATAAATAGGCATTAGCAATGATATTTTTGGTTTTCTATGGCATAAGGAAAGAATATTTTTTCCAACTTATGAAATATATATCTCAAATGAATAGTGATTTTAACTGAACAAAAACGTCGCCTCTGAAGATGTCAGGTGCTATTTCAACTTCTCCAACAGTTCTGAATGAACTCAATAAGCTCAAATAATGTTGATTTTGGTCTCATTACAAGAATAACAATACTTATTTCTTTATTTTTAAATGGTGAAGATTTTTGGAAAATATTTTTAACCTTTTAGAATCTTTTTTATGAGAATTTACTAGTATTCATCAATATATAGTTTTTAATTTCTAGAAACAATAGAGCTATAAGCTCTATTATTATTGGTGAAAGTAAAGAATATTATAGAACTAAATCTGACCTCACACACCTAGAGGAACTGTGACACAATTTGTAATGTCTTTCATATTGTGGAGTGAGACCCTTCCATTTCTTCTTTGTTTCCTTTATCTGGCTTTTGCCTGAAGACTATTTGACCCATTCCCTTTTTCGTTTCCTTACTCTTCTCTGTGTCTATGCTCTAGGATTAGAACATTTTGCTGTCAAATACCAGGCCCTGTCTTCTTTAGGCTGTCCCTCTCTGATCTAAAGCAGTGTTTCTCCGTGTCAGTGGGTGTGAGGCTGTCCTGGAGGACCTACTGTACTTGCTATTTCGCAACAAGCCTGGCCGCCTAAACCTGCCCTCTTTGTGCTCTGGGAGGCTGCAGAAGATGGGCCCCAAGTCTGAGCCCCACTTGGGCAGCTAGATGGTACCCTGCTTGAGAAATAGAAGAATAGAACAGGACTGGGGATATAGCTCAGTGTGCAGGTCGTGGGTTTAATCCTTCTAAATAAGTATATTCATAAAGTCCAGTGCCATTCTGATTGTGTAGGTGAGATAATACTACAGCTAATACTGCTGCAGGAGTTATATGAATCACAGTGCTAGAAATTTGTCTGGGGTCGGTTTTTTAATTTAGCAGCTTTATTAGAAAAAAAACTTTTTGTTTATATAATAGCAACATAATAATACATTAAACATAAAGACTATAGCACAAAGAGTAGCAATTATAATTTGAATAGTTCTTATTGTTGTTCCAATAAGAGAGTGACTTTCTTTTAGCAAAAAGCTACTAATGATACTTCATTTTGGGCTGTCAACCCACTCTCTCACTCCAGAGTTTCTGTTTCTCGTCTAAAATATGAGTGAGACTCAGCAAGGCCATGACAGACCTGGAACTGAGCTGCCAGTGTTCCACATATAACCAGAAATTTGTTTTTTTACTGTAATTCTCAAGTTCCAAATTTCTGGTTCCATTTTTGTCTCAAGGCTGTGGTCAGAGATGTGCTGGGTTCTGAGCCAGAGCCAGGGCATGCACAGGTCTTTACACAGCTCCATCCACTGGCCAGAGGGAAGGTGGGAAGGCTGTATATATGGCAGTGAACGCGGCATCTAGAGGTGAGGCTCAGCGCTTAATTAGGGCACTGTAAAGTTACACTTTCTCACCTCAGATTATAAATTGAAGTCTGATTAGGGTAAAGATATGATGCATTTGCTTCACAAGAGACTTTATGTCTGAGTAAAAAAAATTAAAAACATGAAGTGATTATAATTTTGAACATGAACTCAAGAAATCTGTTGCTAATGCTACTAGTAAATCACCTTTACTTATAATCTTTGAAATGTCTTTTTATATGGGAGACATAAGACATTTATTGAAAATTCCATATCAATAACATATTAACAAATTACTACTTACCCAATTCATTTTTTGTCACTTATTCTGAACTCATTATAAGGAAAATAAAATGAAGTGATTCAGGTGTAGGGAAAGATATAGAACAATAATGGTGTTTAAAGACCTTGATTATGATAGTGTTATTATTATGTGCATGTTAATAATCATTAGAATAATGAAAAGCCTATAGTGATTTATCAATGAAACCAAAATATCTGAATTAGGTCTTTTTATATTCATTGAAGTTAGTAGTATATTCTTACATGTATTTGGTAAGTGCTTGAGCTGATAAGTGATTATTTTTGCTTTTCAGATAAAACTATGGTTTGACAAGGTTGGTCACCAATTAATAGTTACAATTTTGGGAGCAAAGGACCTTCCTTCCAGGGAAGATGGGAGGCCAAGGAATCCTTATGTTAAAATTTACTTTCTTCCAGATAGAAGGTATGGATATGAAACAGAAATAAATGTTCTTGACAATAAGTGGGAAAATGATGATAGCAATGAGTGTTTTAATTCTTACCACTCATTTTCTGTATTGTACTAGTCAGATACTTGTGAAGTTTAATATATATTTAGTATCATTTTTAGGAATCAGAATAGTGGCAGTCAATATTTGGGATTGTTTTAAAGCTTATGTTAAATATTATATATTTTATTTAATATTTTATGTATATGTGAATGACTTCTTAATATTGTTTTTAATCTATAAAATCATTAACATTTATGCCCCTTCATATAAAAATTTTAACATAAAATAGAGAGTCAAAACATTGGTAAGGATACTAAAAAGTATTCATATTCCTTTTCAATTTCTACCTCCTCACAAAATACAGTTTTACTCTATTCTACGAAATTAAAAAGTACCTTTTATGTTTCATGACAGAAACTTTACCACTGGGCTCTGAATTACCTTCTTCAAACACTATTTGTGTTAGGTCCATGCTAACTAGGCTCACTGAAAGTATAATTATGTATGTGGAGTTTTAAGGAACTGCAGAAATTATCTTGTCCTCTTTCTGTGCTATATTGAAATTTCTCCTAAAATAGTCGTTCTTTCTGAGAACATTTTTCAGCTTAAAGAAAAGTGATGGCTTATTTTTCTATTCCCCTTAAGATCTTCTTATAAATCATCCTTAAATTAGTAAGTGTCTGTTAAATATGTCCTGGGGTTTTGGGAAAGAACTGTGTCTCTTGACAGGGACTCAGAATTCATTCTTTCATGAATGAAATGTAAGTAAAAGCTGAATAAATATTTGTTACAATTTTTAGAAAGAGAGAAGAAGAAGGAGAGAGAGAGAGAGAGATATCATAAGTCATTGTTATTATGATAGTAAGTTGAATATCCTTTATCCAAACTGCTGGAGACAGAACTGTGCTGAATTTCACATTGTTTTTAGACTTTGGAATATTTACACATACTGTACTCATCTTGAGAGACACAACCTAAACACAAAATTTATTTATGTTTCTTAGAGAACACACACACACACACACACACACACACACACACACACATCTCCTGAAGACAATTCTGTGCATTATTTTTAATAATTTGATATGAAATTGTCCACTATGACATCATGTAAGAACTCAGGAAGTTGCACATTTCGGACCATTTCAAGTTTTGTTTTGTTAATTATTACACTTAGTATCACTTCTTTTCCATGTACAGAGAGAAAAAAAATCTACGTGGGTTTGCAGGGTCATTTTCCTACAGGCGACCTCCTAGTTAGTGGTGGTACATGATACACCATCTTTTTTCAAGTGTCTTATCAGAATTCATTATCGTTATAATTTAAAGGCAGTTTTCTGCCACCTTAAATACAGTGCTCAGGAAATGTCCAGTATCTCTTTGATTACTCCGGTCCAATTTATATTATACACTGGAAATTTTAGCGCTGCTTCCTTATGTCAGAGTCACCACAGCCCTCTTTTGTTCCCACTCCTTCTGTTTCCTAGCTGTGCAGCAGCTTTCTGTGGTGTGATGGATGCCCAGATAAGCGCCATATGGGGAGGCGTCATTTCCGCTCACAGCTGCAGAGGCACGGGCCCATGGTCGCATGCCCCTTTGCTTTGTCCTGTGCCCCACACCGCACCAGGGTAGGGCAAAACTGCTTGCCACCCCTGTGGCCTGGAAGCAGCGAGGGGTGGGTATGGGCTCCCTCCAAGACCCTCCCTCCAGGGGCTTCAGCTCCCTAGGTTTCTCCCCGCTCCCCGAGGGATATCAGTTGGTGACCAGGCTTTCTTCACATGCACTTGGGAGAGACCTTTGAAGTACACACCACAGCATCATACCTCTGTTCCTAGAGTCATTGATTCAGCCTCCAATAGGATGCCTGTGTCCTGAGGGGACATATCAAATAATCTATTACAACTCTGGAAAATAATTTAAATTAAAAATTTGTCTCATATTTTAAATCTTTTCTTTAGCGTATTTCACAGTATAGCTATTAGCACATTGTTATAGCGCCATATATATATATTAGCACATTGTTATAGCGCCATATATATATACATATATATATGTATATATATATATATATATATGATGTGTTAGTAAAGTAATCCATGTTTCACCTGTCTGGATGTCCTGTTGCGTTTCCAGCCCAATATATAGAGGCATGCTTGCTAGAAATAATTCTCAGTGTTTTTAGAGATCTGCTATCTGTTAAAGATGCAAATAGTCTTTCCTATGGGTAAAAAGGTATGTAAGAAGTAAATTACATTTGTTTGTTACCTAAAGTATAAGCAAAGGCAGTCACTATCATCATAATTAATTCATCTTATTTTTGCAGTTAAGACTTAAGTAGTTTAAATAAATGATATGTGAATGTTCCAGGTTAATTGCTGCTCTGAAGCTTTCCATAAAGATAATATGTAAAAAATTTTATAGCCAAGATCTTTCTTGTTGTCTCATTTAGATTTTGAGAAGGATTAAGTTTTATATTATCTGTCATTGGAAAAATTTTAAATATATTGAACTATTATTGAGTAATATTTATAAAACATGATATAATTATACATAGTATACATTTTAACAACTTAAAATATAGTATTTGCAATGTATGATAAATATATGGTGGTTTTATTTGACTTATGACAAATTTTAAATTAATATATTTTAAGATAAAATTTAAAATTTTATGTAATTTCCGATATTGTTTTCTTTTTCATAGTGATAAAAACAAGAGGAGAACAAAAACAGTAAAGAAAACATTGGAACCAATACAGAATTTTG